CCAAGATCAATGACTCTTCTCAATCATGCCTTCTGTTTTTATTGGCTGGCATTCTTCTATGAAGAAAAGCTGCCTCTCCTCTTTTTATTCCTGCGTCTTCAATATCACTGTGAATTCATGATTTTTGTTTTTACTCAATTGTTTGTAATTCGTCATTTACATTCTTTAGGTGACCTCAGTTTGGCCAGTGAGGGGCCTTCAAGTTGGCTCCATTCCCGTCACTTTTTGTATATCCTAGCTTTTTGACCAAGATGCTCTAGTCTTATCATGTACTATCTGTCTTGGACCTGGAATTAGCCATTTCCCCGAGGAACCCGGTGCTTTTTAATGGAGAGTGGTATTAGAGACCAACATCTGGGTGTCAGGTGTACTCATACCAACTGGTTATTATCAGAAAGAGCTGCCAATTTCCAAATTATATCTATTTTGTAGTTGTATTTTATGGATTATGGGAGAGGCTGAGCATATTTTCATGTTTTCTGGCCATGTCCATTGCCTTTTTGTGAATTGCTTACTCAAGTCCTTTGTGGGATGTCAATCTTTTTCTTACTAAAGTGAGTTAATAACATTACAGCATTTTAGAATAGTCCCTGACATACAGTAAGGTTACGTATTGCTGAAGGATATTACTTCGTATTTATTCTTTGTTAAAAGTATCCAGAGTAAATTTTAAACTCAGTGCGCTGGACACATGTTGCTCTTCTGCAGTCACAGTGGGGAGAGGACCTGTGCCTGCATCCCGTGATGCTGTCTGCCACTGCCCAAAAAGTATTGGTCTACAAGTCACACCTCCCTTGTCATTCACTTGGCTCTGCTTCGTGGTGATGGCAAACATGGGCTGGCACCCAAGCCCTAATGACAAAGGTCCAGGCCCTTCAGCACCATGTGCAGCCTCTCAGCATGGACAATGGGCCCCGAAATCACTGCAGCTCACTGTTCCTCTCCCACCCTACAGGAAGTAGATTGGGAAGCAGAGCTGGCCGTGGTCATTGGAAAGAAAGGCAAGCACATCAAGGTGAGGTGGAAAGGTGGGGCTCCCAGGCCAGAGTGTAGCAGAGGCCCCAGCTCCTGCCTCTCCCAGTGCTGACCTCTCACCAACACACGGTGCCAGCTGTCCCTGACCCTGGGAAGCGGTCAGCCTCCTTGCTCCCTGACACTGCCTTGCCCTTCACCCAGCTTTGGCTCGTCCTGGCTACTAACACGGGATAACAGCTTAGAGATCCTTTGCCAAAGGTGTTGATGTCACCCGTGATCTAACCTCCTGTATGGCCACATCCCCTGCCCCATAGGCCACAGATGCCATGGCCCACGTGGCCGGCTTCACTGTGGCCCATGACGTGAGTGCTCGTGACTGGCAAATGAGACGCAATGGGAAACAGTGGCTGCTGGGGAAAACCTTCGACACCTTCTGCCCTCTGGGCCCTGCCTTGGTGACCAAGGACAGTGTAGCAGGTAGGTCCCTGGACCCTGCCCCCTTGTACCTACCATTGCACAGATGAACAGCGTTCCAAGGAGGAGCGTGGGTTCAGGTACATGCAGCGCCTGCCCTCCCTGGCCACCCTTTCACTGCTGACTCTACACAGGGCAAGTCTCTTACCCTCAGCCATGAGTTCTCCCATGGGCTTCCTTCCCAAGCCCCCTAGAGGGAACACAACTGCAGAGGATGTGAAACTGCAGGAAGTAAATGACAACACTGAGCTGATGGGTGGATCAGGCTTCCTGTGGCTGCTGCCATCTGAAACAATCTAAGTTGAGCATCATGGAGCATAGTTATCACGAGGCTCTGGCATCTTCCACAGTACAGGACACGAGAGCCCGTGTGACTTATTCAGCCATTGTGGAAACAGAACAGCACCGACCACATACAGTGAGGAGACAGCGCCAGGATGGGGGCAGTGCCCAAGAGGGCAGAGCGCAACCTCTTAACACAGCCGCCCACAACTGTGGTGGAGATGGGGGGAGGTGTCCATGTGGGCCAGCCATGCCAGGATGCCAAAGACCCCATTACCTCACAGCACCCCATGCAGAGTCCTCAGTAAAGTTAAATTGTGTTTCAGCTGCTCTACTTAAGGGGGGTAGAACACTAAGACCACCACCAACAGTTGAAAGTGCTGGTTAGCCAGGATGTTCTTACACTAATCCATCCCCTGCCATCTTCCATTACATGAGGCTTCACTGTCCTGGCTAGAACCATTACCTCACTGCTTTATGGATGCTAAGTCTTTTTTTTTTTTTTTTTTTTTCTTTTGGAATGGTCTTACTGTGTCACCCAGGCTGGAGTGCAGTGGCCCAATCTCAGCTCACTGAAGCCTCAGTATCCAGGGTTCAAGTGATCCTCCCGCCTCAGCCTCCTGAGTCGCTGGGACTACAGGCATGCATCACCACGCCTGGCTAATGTTTTTATTATTTTTTATAGAGACAAGCACTCACTACGTTCCCCAGCCTGGTTTTGAACTCCTGAGCTTAATCAGTCCTTGCCTGCTTTGACCTCCCAGAGTGC